GAAAAATTCTTGAAAAAGTTGCCTACCAACAACATACTGAATTTTTAATATCTAATGACTCATTTGACATGTTCCAGTCTGGCTTTAGACCACACCACAGTACTGAGACCGCTCTAGTCAAGGTAACAAATGATATTCGGCTTAACACTGATGCAGGAAAAGTCTCTGTTTTAGTCATGTTAGATCTGAGTGCCGCTTTCGACACCGTTGACCATGAGATTCTCATGCAGAGACTGGAGGACTGGGTTGGGGTTGCTGGTACCGCCCTAAGCTGGTTTAGGTCCTATCTAGAAGAAAGGAAGTATTGTGTGGAGATTGGAGACTATGTCTCAGATAATATGGCCCTGACCTGCGGAGTGCCACAGGGGTCGATTCTGGGACCTCTCTTGTTCAATATTTACATGCTGCCATTAGGTCAGTTAATTCAAAGTATGAAAGTGTCCTACCACAATTACGCTGATGACACTCAGATCTATGTCTCACTGACTGCAGGAGAACATGGACCAGTGGACTCACTCCTTCACTGTATCCAACAGATCAGTGAGTGGATGCAATACAATTTTCTCCAGCTAAATGCAGACAAAACCGAAATAATTGTCTTTGGTCCCGAGAAACAAAGAGAGACCGTCATTTATCACCTTCAGTCTCTCTCCCTAAGGCCTTTAAATAAGGTCAGAAATCTGGGAGTAATAATGGACTCTGACTTAAACTTCAATAGCCACATTGGATCGGTAACATCAGCAGCTTTTTATCATCTGAAAAATATTGCCAAAATTAAAAATATTGTGTCCAAAGCAGACTTGGAGATTCTTATCCATTCTTTTGTTTCCAGTAGGCTAGATTACTGCAATGGCCTGCTCACAGGTATCTCCAAACATGCAGTAAAACAGCTGCAGTATATTAAAAATGCTGCAGCCCGAGTCCTGACTAGAACCAGGAAGTACGACCACATTAGTCCGGTCCTCAGGTCTCTGCACTGGCTTCCCGTGGCCCAGAGGATAGACTTTAAAGCAGCTCTCCTGGTGTACAAGTCTCTCCATGGCCTTGCACCAAAGTACATCCATGATATGCTAGTCCCATATGAACCAGCCCGGACTCTGAGGAGCGCAGGGACGGGACTCCTGTTAGTGCCCAGAGTCAGGACTAGACAGGGGGAGGCTGCTTTTCAGATTTATGCAGCTAAAGTCTGGAACAGTCTTCCTGAGGATGTGAGACTGGCTGCCTCTCTGTCAATGTTCAAATCCATGTTAAAGACTTTTCTTTTTTCCTGTGCATACAACTAAAGAATTTTATCTTTTTAACACACCTTGTTATTTATTGTTGTAACTTTTTGTGTTTTTAACTATTTTATTGTTTTTAATTACTTGTGTGATTCTTATGTTTTTAAATTACTTATGTGATTTTAATGCTTTTTAATTACATATGTGTTTTTAATTGTATTTTAATGGTGATGATTTGTGCATTGTGTGGTGTGGACTGTGAGGCGCTTTGTGTTGCCCTGTGCAGGAAAAGCGCCCTATAAATAAAGATTGATTGATTGATTGATTGATTGATAACTGAGTTCTATAAATAATATTTCTCTGTTGCTTGCTTTACACATGTTCACTGGAGTTTTTCACCCACGGCAAATATATACAACCACAGAGATATTCCATACTGTTCATATCAACGACCAGCACACAGAGGACAAAATTATAGAGGAACAGAGGAATAGACAATATATTTTCAACATATAGATATTTTTTCAGTACATAATGAAAATCATAAGTTAATGATTTCTGTGAGTTACTCAAGTGTTCATTTTATTGCTAAGGATTAAACAACTATATGATTGAATGCACTTTTTAAGATTATTAATATTGTATTATTTTTTAGATAGTTTCAGAAGTATGTTGTAGTTTAAAAAGTGTGTTTGAATGCTTAGTACGAGCAAACCAGATTTCAAAATCCTTTACGCACTCACCACCAAATAATATGCTTTATAAGCCTCACCTGCTGCTTGCATCAGTTCATGTAATTTCATGTCACACCATATTCTCCCACCTCCGAATAAGGTCAGTTCAAAATGATTCATAGATGGGATCTGCATAAATGTTTTAGTCAGTGGATTAACAAACAGAAAGGGAAGGAGTAGCATGCAGCAGGTATAAATACAGCTTGCAGATCATTTTATCCTAAGATACAAACTCAGAGGTGCAGAGTTGAGGAATGAGCTTAAAACATTGTAGTTTACGAGTTTTTTACGACAGGTAAAATGTAATCTGGTCTAAATGTGTCAACTTCAATACAACACTCCATTTCATTCATGGAACCCATTAAAGTATTTAACATCTGTGCTTTACATTTTCCCTCTTTATGAGCATTATATTGAGTAATGGTTATGGCAGTGTTCACAGTTCAGACATTGTTCCATTCTCTCCATACTCGGTGATGACGGAAGCGAGACATCGAACACACTGGCATAAAAGCCCCCAATCAACACCATTCATTCTTCACTCATTTACACTCGAACCTTTTGTACATGCTTGTAGTGGTGAAGGGGAAACTGGAGCACCTGGAGGAAACCTACGCAGACACGGGAAAAACATGCAAACTCCACTCAGAAAGGCCCTGTACCCAGGACCTTCTTGTTGAGAAGCGAGAGTGCTATCTACTCAGCCACTGTGCCGCCCAGAAGCAGTTGTACTAATATAATCTTGTGAAGTTTAAATGGTTTGAATTCTAGAGAAAGTGGTGATGAGGGTAAGGATAAGTTTCCCCACTACTACTTGGCCACAGCACTTATGCTAAAATGTACAGTAGTTTAGAGTCACTCACTCACATCTCCAACACATCACTCTAGAGGAAACACGAGAACTGCAACGTGGGAGGAATCAAAGATGGTTGGGGAAAAAAACTACAGCAATGACACAGCGCTGCTAAGACACCTACAAAACACAACGTGATGTATATGTGTTGAAAATTCAGTCTTCTTTGGAATACATTTCTTGTGACATATGCAGTGCAGAGAAGAAAGCAAGGAAAGTGGGGGTTGCTCCAACAATTAGTTACCATGGAAACGTGGTTGTTTCATAAGAAAGTTCAACACAAGACTTTGTGTGAATGTGTTTGAGGGAAATCTTTGGTTTCTTTGTTCATTTTATTCAAATCAGATGAGAGAAGCTGCAACTAATATTGCATAAAATGATGAATAGAAAATGTAGGTTTTTCAACTCATTGTTTAAACATTTGAAGTAGACCTTTTCCATTCAAATCCTCAGATATGGCAGGAGAAAAAAAACATTGTAAGAATAGCATGCGTTATAATGACAGGCGTTTGGGCTAATGTTAATACGATAATTATATTTTTTTAGGTTATTACACAATGCCTTGATGGATATTAAATGGAATAGGCTAAGATGAATATTATTTGGAATAGACTAAGATAGATATTAATTGGAATAGGCTAAGGAGAAAAACATGGATACCAAGATAAATCAGAACTGTAATGCTTAGATCAAACTAAAACAAATAAAAAGCTGAGTTGTGTGGACTACTTATTCCCTTTTAGGTTTATTGTTAAGAGTATAATAAGTGGTGAGGTTGTTTTCCTGAGAAAATAAGCTTTAAGATTAGGTATACCATGCAATGGTCAAAACATCGGTTGGGGGTGCCAAAGGTGAAAACTATTGTTATTGGTTAGGGTTAGGGTTGGTGATATATCGGACCTAGACCTAAGAATGTATTTGAATTTGATGGTTAAAGTTGCTGTTTAAATATTATTTATAAATGCAATACCTGAAATTGTTCCTCAATTTGGAAACCCATAGATATGTTCTTTCTGTGCCTATGCATGATTTATGATCTGGTACCGCAACAGACTTTCTCCAAATACAATAGTTTGAATTATCCATTATGGACCTTTGTGTTCTTGATAAAGCAACAGTGGAGAATATAACATACAAGTGTATGCTATTGTCCCCATAGGGATGAATCCTTCAATGCAATAGGGCAACATGTCAAGAGCAGTGGCCCTACAGTGCTCAGGAACCTAACATGATGATGCTCATCTTTGTCAGGACTCCTGGACCTGAAGGAACTGAATTGGAACCTTACCTTCAATAGCACTATTCACTCAGCCCCTGTGCAATTTCCAGAGTTGAATAAGCAGAAGAATTCCAACGGATGAAATTGTAAACACTAAATGTAAACAAAAACTATATGACAAAGACAAACACAGGTTTCCGGTGTTCAAGTTGTAAGTAAAACCCATGAATAATCGATAAAAAATATAATATCAACCAAAAGATAATTAAGTTTGAAATAACATAACTTGTTTACTATGCCAGAGAAAGTTACAACATTGCATCTTAAACATGTAAAACAATAATAAATATATTACATAAGGATAGCATGAATACTGGTCATTAATATACGTATATTTGTACGTATAATGTAATATGCACCAGTGATAGGTAGGCTATGAGCTGTTCTACTTTCCTTATTGGACATGAGTGTTTTTATGCCTTGTGCTTTGACACACACCAAAGACATGACCCAGTTCTCCCTCCTCCCCTGCGCACCGCGGGGAAGTGAATGACAAAAACAAAATCATGAACTGCACACAGCTGAAAATGAGCGGACGAGGGGTGCTTATGTGAAGGTCAAATGCTCAACGGATACTGCAGTGAATGGAGTGAGGCGAAGACAAAAACACACCAAAGCTGTTTAAGTCAATGGGAACTCACCGCATCAACAAGGGGACTGGTTGCAGACGGTTCCATCTCCAAAAGAGCAAAAGCTATTAAACTATACCTTGCTTCATCTGCATAGCCCCTTAACACAAAACAACCTTATCAAGTCATAACACACACAACCCTACTACTTCCTTCATTCTCAAACTACCAACACATCAATGATAGTAAATAACCATCACAATCAAATCCTGTCTGCATTGGGAAATATTAAACACCATGAGCAGAATGTTTACGGTGAGAGAGAATAGTGTGCAGTGCAGCGCTTCAGATCCTCCAATCAGAAAGCCAGCTGGTCTGACAGGAGCCAATCAGAACAAAGGAGCATTGAAGCCGCGGGTGGGTGGTGTTGCGGTAGCCGCAAACACAGACAGGTGGCAGTGACGGCAGCATTTGGCACCGAGGGTCAGAGGCATGGGGCAACGGTGCAACTGTGAGAAATGTTCAACATTTAATTTAATATGGGGATTACAGTCATTGTTTGAAAGGGAGAAGGCTAATTGTTTTATGGATCTTTAACCAAATGCTTGAGAAGTTCATTGTATTTCGTCACGCTAAAACTCAAACAGTTTCGATATTTAATCTTTAATTCAGACACACAAAGGTTCCATATAAAACAAACACAACAAGAAAAGAGACAAACAACACACATACATTAGATGTTTACAGAATTCTATAAAGACACTCTCCAATGCCTCCAGAGTTCAGAGTTGTGCCTAACACTGCTCTGTACATGAGAAGTAAAAACATTCATTATTACATTTAAAGAGTCCTCAGAGCGTTTCATGAACCTATAAATAAAATGTCTGATCACAGCATTCAGAGTGGGGACATTATTAAGAACAAACAGTGAGCTGCATCATTGTATGCAACCTGCAGATTCTTAAACTTATCTGGACTACAAGAGGGCAGTATAGAGCGGTGTGCAGTAGGATCCTAATGATTAGAAAAGATACCAATTTTTATAGCACAGTGAAACGCAGAAATAGAAATAGAGTTTTAACCCATTAATGTTCAATCTTTGGAAAAAACAATGTACTTTTTTATTTTCTAAGATGTAGGGGCTGGGTTCAAATCCCAGTTGGACCGTTTCTGAGTGGAGTTTGGAGTGAGAGACAAATGCCCAAAAAATAACAATTGAAAACCACTTTGTGAAAAATTACTTACTACTACTGCTACTAATAAAACCAATAAATTTGATGGTAAAAGTGCCTAAAACCAAGTGAGAATGCCCAAAGAGGTGTTCTTCAGTTTCAAGCTTATAGTGACTTAAAAGGTGATCTAACAAATGGACACAATTCCAACTTCCCAAAAGCACTGTATGAAAATGAGTTGAATGGTGTTGTATATGGATCTGATGTATCTCATACTCACTGGAGCAGTCACAGATGGTGTCCTGGCTGGAGGTGGACAGAGGGGTGAGGGACAGGGATGCAGGACAAGACACAGCCTCCAGCCGCTCACTCAGGACGGGCAGAGCGGAGCCTTCGGAGCGGGCTGTGTCTGGACTGGGCAGGTTCGCACTGTTTTCTGTTAGAGGGCTGTTCCAGTGGGAGAACTCAATGGCCACCTGCCCCCCGAGGTCAAATCCTACACCAAACAGGAGTACATGTTTGTATCATGTGTTGTGATAGATTTTTCTGTATCAGTGTGCTGTATAATTTATTTCTATTTTGATATTTTGAAACCCAGAAGAATCCATTATGTTATGTTGACCCGGTTTGGCCAAGTGAGAAATGCCAAAACGGCCCTTGAACCAATTAAAAATAATAATGATAATAATAATGATGATAATAATTTTCTTTCGAGACACTCGAGGTTGCATTACAAAACAAGTAAAAAGTGCATTGTTGGCTCTATGTCTCCCTCTAGTGATCAATAAATCCCTCATTGGTTGAACACATCGCAGAAGATTACATCTTCAAAATAAAAGTCACATAGTAATTGCACTGATGTGGATAGTGATGTGCTGTGGACTCTCAGTAGTCAATCAGGGACTTCTTTGGATCTTTCCCAAAGAGATAATGAACTGCACAGGACTAACTGCTGTTTCACTGCATAATGAGAAGTGACTTAATCACCATCTGCCGTAACGATTTTGAACATGTCCTGTAAAATAGATTCATTGGATGAACCTTATATGCATCAGTGCAATATATAAAAGGACACATAGCTTAATTCGGTTATTTTAGTTGTTCCAGGCCGAGGCATGAGGGTCTAAGGACAGTGGTAAAGATCCAGGACAAAGGACATGTATGAACATACAGTGCCTTGCGAAAGTATTCGGCCCCCTTGAACCTTTCAACATTTCGCCACATTTCAGGCTTCAAACATAAAGATATGAAAATTATTTTTTTTTGTCAAGAATCAACAACAAGTGGGACACAATCGTGAAGTGGAACGAAATTTATTGGATAATTCAAACTTTTTTAACAAATAAAAAACTGAAAAGTGGGGTGTGCAATATTATTCGGCCCCCTTGAGCTAATACTTTGTAGCGCCACCTTTTGCTGCAATTACAGCTGCAAGTCGCTTGGGGTATGTCTCTATCAGTTTTGCACATCGAGAGACTGGAATTCTTTCCCATTCTTCCTTGCAAAACAGCTCGAGCTCAGTGAGGTTGGATGGAGAGCGTTTGTGAGCAGCAGTCTTCAGCTCTTTCCACAGATTCTCGATTGGATTCAGGTCTGGACTTTGACTTGGCCATTCTAACACCTGGATACGTCTATTTGTGAACCATTCCATTGTAGATTTGGCTTTATGTTTTGGATCATTGTCCTGTTGGAAGATAAATCTCCGTCCCAGTCTCAGGTCTTTTGCAGACTCCAACAGGTTTTCTCCAGAATGGTGCTGTATTTGGCTCCATCCATCTTCCCATCAATTTTAGCCATCTTCCCTGTCACTGCTGAAGAAAAGCAGGCCCAAACCATGATGCTGCCACCACCATGTTTGACAGTGGGGATGGTGTGTTCAGGGTGATGAGCTGTGTTGCTTTTACACCAAACATATCGTTTTGCATTGTGGCCAAAAAGTTCAATTTTAGTTTCATCTGACCAGAGCACCTTCTTCCACATGTTTGGTGTGTCTCCCAGGTGGCTTGTGGCAAACTTTAAACCAGACTTTTTATGGATATCTTTGAGAAATGGCTTTCTTCTTGCCACTCTTCCATAAAGGCCAGATTTGTGCAGTGCACGACTGATTGTTGTCCTATGGACAGACTCTCCCACCTCAGCTGCAGTTATCTGCAGTTCATCCAGAGTGATCATGGGCCTCTTGGCTGCATCTCTGATCAGTCTTCTCCTTGTTTGAGATGAAAGTTTGGAAGGACGGCCGGGTCTTGGTAGATTTGCAGTGGTCTGATACTCCTTCCATTTCAATATAATTGCTTGCACAGTGCTCCTTGAGATGTTTAAAGCTTGGGAAATCTTTTTGTATCCAAATCCGGCTTTAAACTTCTCCACAACAGTATCTCAGACCTGCCTGGTGTGTTGCTTTGTCTTCATGGTTCTCTCTGCGCTTTAAACAGAACCCTGAGACTATCAAAGAGCAGGTGCATTTATACGGAGACTTGATTACACACAGGTGCATTCTATTTATCATCATCAGTCATTTAGGACAACATTGGATCATTCAAAGATCCTCACTGAACTTCTGGACTGAGTTTGCTGCACTGAAAGTAAAGGGGCCGAATAATATTGCACGCCCCACTTTTCAGTTTTTTATTGTTAAAAAAGTTTAAATTATTTAATAAATTTCGTTCCACTTCACGATTGTGTCCCACTTGTTGTTGATTCATGACAAAAAATAAACATGTTATATCTTTATGTTTGAAGCCTGAAATGTGGCGAAATGTTGAAAGGTTCAAGGGGGCCGAATACTGTATAGTAACATTTATGGGCATTGATCATTCGTCCCTTTTGGACCAATGGCTCTATCTTGCATTATTTTAGTTTGAACTGCTTGATTCTCTGATCTGTGTTGGAGAATCTTTGCAAATTCCTCCGAGATAACTATCGTTGGGATTTAGGGCTGTACAAAATAAATTGAACGAAGTGAATAGAAAATGCTTCCCCCCATTTTACAGTGCCGTGCAGTTGTCCATGAACTTTTCAAAATGTTGTTTTGAGAAAACCACAAATGTTAAAGTAATTTTATTGGCATTTAACATGAAAGACCAACACAGAATTGTGAAGTAAAAGCAAAATGATGCAAGACTTTATTCAACAACTGTATCCCACCTGTATGTGAAAGCTAGATGGATCCACTCAGGTGGACTCAGACACATTTGACCTGTCATCAATGCTCAAAGACAATACAGTTGCACTCAGAGAAAAGGGGGCTGAATACTCACGACACTTTTCATTGTTTTCTTTCATTTCATATTTTTCCACCAATTTGTGTTGGTCTTTCACCTAAAATGACAAGACCAAGGTCATGTAATAGTCCACCTCGGTTGCTAATATTAAACATTTAGGCTTTCACTTTACTTTAATCCTGAGCTAACATTTCAAGGTCACCTCTAAACAGAAGTTGTTTGCTGCAGTAGTGGCTTTTCTGTTTGGCTGCATAAAAAAACAAAAAGTGCTTAAAGTTCTTTTTGTGGGAAATATACGACACAGTAGACATGTCTTAAACAGCGGTGTAACTACTGAACCCACCCCACGCAGAGTGCCTTACATCAGCATTGAACAAACACAATCAATACTGTGCAGAGGTACACCTGCTCTCCCCTCCTCGCACACTGCACAAAGAGAGGAAGATGAGGCTCATAAAACACTGCACAAAGGAGTAGGTGTGTGAGGAGGGCTGAGCTGTGAGATGGGTGTCCCCGAAATTATGATGCGGTCAGCACATGCAGTAACTGGGACAGAGTGAAACTTCATTTGGTCTCAGGAGAATGAACTCAGCAAGAAAAACTACACAGTGACTCGAGAACTTAAGGGTTTAAATTTAAAAAAAGCAAATCTCCAGAATGATCAGATATGGTGCGATGATTCTGCCTCTAATCACACAATAATCACAGCTGATCGGTGAAGCACAAGTGATGTAAAAGCTCTCATTGTTCAGTTAATCGAAGAAGCAATAAAGCAGGGATATTATTGTTTTATTGTTGTTTACATTTTTGTGTGTTGGTATGAATTAATGTGAATGTTTTATTCAAGTATTATTATCAGTTATTAATCTTATTCCAATGAAGGAGCAGATTGATTCATGATACAGCAAGAGGATGACAAAAGGCAACATAATTTAAAATCATCCATCCATCTTCTTCCCCTTAATCCATTTCTGGGTCAGGGGGATGGCAATCAGAGCTGCACCCAGTCCACATAGCACCAGCCCCTTGCTATGATTTAAAATCCAATGTTTTTTTTAAAGGGATATGTATAAGTATTGTATGTATTATAATAAAAATCTCAATAAAATATAAGGATCATTTGCATCATAGGCTCTGTGTACATTTGAACAGCTAATGACTAGTTTTCTGGATATTAGATAGATAATTGTGAATTTAATCAGATTAAGACATTTGCTTACACTTTTCTCGTCAATTTATCCAGGTCAAATCTTGAGCCACAGCAAGGCCATTAACTACATTATAAAGTTCTTGAAATGTATTTGCTGCACACAAAATGACTGGCTGAATGTACACACCACATTACAAAGTCACCTGAGGGGCAGAGTAGGAAATCTACACCTGAACTGTATCCAGACGACCTCTAAAATCCTCCACGTGTGCAACCTTGTGCTGTGTGCCCTGTAATAAGCACTCTACAGTCACAGTAATCAGAAAATACTGCCAGCCTGGCTCTCCGAGTGGAAGACCCCAAGGAGCAGAGGACTTCCATAGGGTGAGTGTGTCCCAGAGCAGGTGCACCAATCTGGGCCACCCTCTGCACCGGGCACCTGGATACAGGCTAATAATAAAAAGAACAAGTGGGAAAGTACTGGTTCCCCCAGAAATTATGTTTACATTATTGATAAAGTTATGCATGGTGAAAAGTGGAATATTGCAATCCTGCAATCCATAAACAAAAAAAATCGGCTGACATTTTAGAAGAAAAAAAGTTGAAAGGACAAAAAATGAACTACATGTCATAAAATCCATGTGACTAGTTCCTTGCTCTGAAAACAGTTCTCTCATGATTTTTCATACCCCTATTTTTTGGGCCTCTGTCACACATGCTTTTTCAGTGAAAATGAGAGGACCGCCCTCACTCAGCATATCAGCTCTCAGTATGTCAAAGATAAAATGTTTTTTTAAATAAGCTTGTTGTGATCTGATTTGTTCACAAAATGTTTCCTGTTAGGGACTTTTTCTTTTTGGACAAATAAAATGTTTTTAGGAAACCCAAAAAAACAGTCAGAGAGGTGACAATGGGGTATGGCAGAGGTCAGAGAATATGGAATGTGACTGTGTTTCAAATAAATGATGTGGTGAATATGAATAAACAATCCTGTTTGTTTGTTTAACTACTGTATCTCTTGATTTCAATTCAAAGCATTTTTTTGGGGGAGCCACAAGGTTTCATATAAATTGCTCTGATGTAGATTAGCATTTTTTTATATGTACTGTATGTAAAAAAGTACAAACTGTAATTTTGACAACACCTACAGTATGAAGTCCTGATAGAATATAAAACAACATGAATTTATTTTTTTGCAGCAATAGTCATTCATTCATTCATATATATTTAGATGCGTCTTATAATTACATCACATTAGAAGATTAAAGAGAAGATTAAACACATTACAAAATAAATCAGACATTAGTTGGCTGTGGGTGAAGGCTGAACCACTTTCTTTAATCAATATATTGTTATGTTTTTCTCTCAGTGTTTGAGAACAGGTCACTCACCGATAGTAATCTGACTGACACAGCTGTAGAACGTCCCAGTGGAGGCATTGTAGCTGCCACTGCTCGGATCGCGGTCTGAAAAAAGGAAAGACAATATGAATGGAATATAGCACAAATCAATACAATTTGGAACAGCCAAATTGTATTGTGCAGCCCGGTCAAAGTGGGTCGGCCCAGATAGCGATTGATCCCTCTCTGCCTGAAGCCCCTGCTGAAAAACAAGGCTGTGTCGTTATCCCCCTGTGTGTATTCATAAGGGTCAACATCTAAATGTAAACATCCAGCTATAATAAAGAATGTTGTGTCAAATAATTTTTCTGTATAAGTTAAATAAAACGAATAATATTCATTTTGATTGTGTTGTCTGGGATAAAAAAACATTATGAATGTAATTGCAGCTCTGGATTCTCTGTGCTATGTTCCTTCAGCAGAAGCATAAACGGACTTGTGTTGAGTGGACAGACAAGGACTAGACTTGAACATCCCCGTGTTTGGCTCCTTTAGCAGTTTAAATCAACTGCTTTAGATCCCTCCTCATGCCCCTCCTTTACAATCATTTTGGCCTACTTCTGTTTTTTTCTGCAACAACCTCACGCTGTACATTTTCTAATTACTTTTTTATCTACTCTTGTAGCAGCAAAACAGAAATGCTGACTCTTCATGTCACCATGTGACATACTATGTGCATATCCACTCGCCCCTTTATGAAACCCTCCAGTGTGAGGCACCTTGCAGCGCCGCTTTGTTATTGGGGCCAACTCTAAAGAGTGGTTCTGGAACAGTCATATCAGATTAATGCTCGGCCTGATTTTTAAACTTTCTCAAAGTCGAGAAAGTAAAGAAGTGGTGGGGTTTAGGAACGCAAATCCTCACACAATAAACTTGATCTTGTTAGGTTTTAGAATCAGAAGATGTGCAGTGCACGGCCTGGTTAGGAATTGGATGGTTGTGTATCCTGGGTATCTGTGAAGTCTAAAATATGATAAAATATGTAACACATGTTTAGGTGCCATTAGCAGCATGGAATTCTAGACTAATATGATGTTGATGGCTGCAGCTGTAATTCAACATACAATATGAAACTATCACAGTAAATGACAGACTCATCACACGCAAAGTTAGAAATTGCAAGCCTTTATTTGTAATAATGTTAATTATGGCTTACTGCTTGTAATAGAATAAAACTACATTTGAATATTTTAGAAATTAGGATAAATAATTTGTAGATAGTAAAGTCACCAAGTGAATTCTCAGTGAACAAATGATACCTTGTTGTGTGACGGAAATGTTTTTATCCCTTCTTGAGTTTTGTCATGTTATTTCTAACATACTATACCGATGAACTGCTGAGTAAAGCATGTCCAATGGGTTACTTTGAATTTGACATACTGTAGACAGGAAATATTACTCTTTCCAAATTTACAGTCACTCTTTGATTATTGATGAGCATTTTGCCAATACTTGCACTAAAACTGACCCGAACAACCTTGTTGATAAATTATGCATGTGGCACAACTTTGGGCCCATACATCAGTAAACACTGTAAACCTTCCCCTTGTTTGTTGGTTCTTTATCTGTAGAGTGTAGAGCCATTTAAACTAAAGCTGAAAGATACTGTCAGAGTCACAGTGATTAATGCTTACTCACTGCTGCAGGAGATTTCTGTTGATTTGGCTGAAAAAGACTTTAATACAGTTAAACACAATGTGCTCAATTCAGGACTCAAGGATATAACGTTCAGGATATACAGGTTCCATGTTCAGTTCAACAAAGGCAAGTCTGACTGGATTCGTTACTTTATTTTAAGATCGGTTTTAAAATTATTCAAGTGATTCAAAATTACAATAGCTAACAAAAAATAAATTGTCAAGCAGATCATTTCTTGCTAAAGAAACAACATACTATATGTGCATTATAATCCTTGTTGCATGACTTTGCCTTTGGGCACAACACAAGCACTTGTAAACACTCGAAAATCATATAAATCATTCATATGCATTGAAAAGCTAAATATGCACTTTTGTACGTGAATCAATGTTGATCATTATTAAATGTTAACTGGCCGGCGTATAATAATTGTTTCAGCTAACAGGGATTAGATATAATCAATACTATTGTTATAGTGTCCATTAATCACAAGAACTATTGATAATCATTCAATTCATCTTTCTAGCTGTTTAGATAGAAGAGGGTCCAAGGACGAGGGATGCTCTGGAGCATTTATCCATTTGCTCAAATACCTGTGAACATTGGTTAATACGTTCGTCAATATGCTGTATTTTTGACTTTCTAATCTGTGGTGGGAAACGACAATTTTAGACAAAATATGTTGATTTTATTTTGATCACCAAAAATAACATTGGATTTAGTATCAAAATGACTAAACCCAAACATTTGTCAACCAGATTGGCTGGTTTAAAAGTAAATGATCATTATTTAATTAGATAGAACCTAGTTTTGTTGTAGATTATTCATATTTGGCAAGAAAGACAGACAAGTCATCTGTTTCCCAATTGTCGTCATTCCATATTTTCTAACTTATTGGAAGGGCCTTCAGCTCTCACCTGCAGAGCCAGAGGAGAGGCGTGTGGTGAGGGTGCGTCTCGGGCTCCTCTGTGGCGTCCCGGGACAAAGTGCCCGCATCTCGTCCTGACAGTGCAGGCAGAGGAGCTGGCTCCGCTCTGGGCTGTCTCCGCTCTTCCTCCGCTGCTCTGCCCCTGAAGCCTGGATCCTCATGGCTGCTCCAGTGTTCGGGGCGGCTGCAGCATCAGGCTCTAGCATCCTCCTCTGTGCCCCTCACTGCCTCTGTGTGCATCGGGACACATGCTCGAAGCACAACAGCACTGGCCCAAGCTCCTCCCCACACTCCCGTCCTTTTATTATTCTAACTTGACTTTATGATGAAAGGAATGAAGGATTTTGAAGAAAAAAAAGATTTCTAAAAATGATGAATATTGTTATTAAGGTTATGTTTGACATTCATGAGCATTACTATTCTGATTTTACTTGCATTCTGAATTACTTGCATTTTGCAAATTTCATAAGTGCGTTTTTTCTTTCTGAATCAGACTTTTTCATTACATTTTAATGCACAGCACAGAATAGGTTCCAGACACAGGCGACTGACTCCAGCTCTCAATGCACCATACATCACAGTATTCTTTAAATAATACTATGTCTATATAAATCGAGAGCTATTGCTGTTTTTTGTTTTTGTTTGCCTCAAGAAGATGATGATAATGATGATGAAGATAGTAATCATCAGGAAAGTCATGTTAAAATTGGGATCCAAAAAATAAACAAAAATAATAAATATAAAATATGAATTAAATTAGTGAATAATCAATGAACTTTAGTTCTTCCCAATTTTAAAACTCTAATGAAACAGTCACGTTATACATAGATTTTAATTCCACGTAGAAAAAAAACGATCAAATTATTCTTTTCCAATTTCAGTTTGGATTTTGAACATAGAGTGGATGATAGATAATAGATAGGGGACACATACATTTGTGTATGACGTCCGAGACGCTTCTGGGGAAGGCGGAAGTATCTGTCAAAATAGGTCAAGGTAAAATACATTTTCTAGTATGGAAGAACCCAAAACTTTTAAAAGGACTCAGAGAACATGGTTCTGATGCTGGTGTTTGCTGGTCACAGATTTGTCCAGATGTATCAAAGATAATTAACTCATAGGTAAGTTCTTTACCTATACTATCCTTTTAATGTGTACTAACTTGAAGTACAGAAAAAAGTTAAACAAAAGGCCAAACACAAACTGCTGCAAGTAAATAATTTCTTACTACAGTAGCACTTGCTCTTCTTGAGAAAAAACCAAGCTCAGCTCAGAATCATTCGAGAGCCAGTCCAGGGCCTCCGCAGGACCCTGCTCCCATCTCTGTGTGGAGTGAGAGGACAAGTGCCCAAAAATAATAACAATTGTAAACCGCTTTGTGACTCTGGTCTGTGAAAGGTGGTATATAAATAAAGATTACTTACTTACTTACTTACATTGAGCTAATCTCATTGGTAAAGTAACATATCAGTAATAACTAGAAACTTGCAATGGCTGAAGCCATTGCGATTGACTGCGGAACAGATCTAATGTGGAAATCTGCTAAAAAAAATCCTTGAAATCCTTTAAAAGGCCTTGAAACTGTTAAAATACTTGATAGATATTTGAAACTCCTGAAGTCCTTGAAATTGTTGAAACCTTTAAACTCCTGAAATCCTTGAAACTGTTGAAACATTGAAACTCCTGAAATCCTTGAAACTTTTTTTAAACCTGGAAACTGTTGAAAGTGTGGAAACTCCTGAAATCCTTGAACCTCCTGATATCCTTGAAACTGGTTAAATTCTTAAACAGTTGAAATCCTTGAAACTACTGAATGTATTGAAAGTGTCCTTGAAACTGAAAAATCCCCTCACCGCTGAAACAATTTGGTTCCTGTAACTAAGGAAACCTGGTCTGTGGTCATTATCTGGTGGTGGTCTGAGTCTTCGTTTGGGTCTTGGTCTGGTGGTATAATGCAACCTATTAGGTTGCATTATACTGGTTTACATGGAAAAATCCCTATTAGGTTGCATTATACTGGTTTACATGGAAAAATCCCTATTAGGTTGCATTATACTGGTTTACATGGAAAAATCCCTATTAAGTTGCATTATACTGGTTTACATGGAAAAATCTCTATTAAGTTGCATTATACTGGTTTACATGGAAAAATCCCTATTAGGTTGCATTATACTGGTTTACATGTACAAATCCCTATTAAGTTGCTTTATACTGGTTTACATGTAAAAACCCCTATTAGGTTACATTATAGTGGTTTACATGTAAAAATCCTTATTAAGTTGCATTATACTGGTTTACATGTAAAAAACCCCTATTAAGTTCCATTATACTGGTTTACATGTAAAAACCCCTATTAAGTTCCATTATACTGGTTTACATGTAAAAACCCTATTAAGTTGCATTATACTGGTTTACATGGAAAAATCCCTATTAAGTTGCATAATACTGGTTTACATGGAAAAATCCCCATTAAGTTGCATTATACTGGTTTACATGAAAAAAACCCTATTAAGTTGCATTATACTGGTTTACAAGGAAAAATCCCTATTAAGTTGCATTATACTGGTTTACATGGAAAAATCCCTATTAAGTTGCATAATACTGGTTTACATGGAAAAATCCCCATTAAGTTGCATTATACTGGTTTACATGTAAAAAACCCTATTAAGTTGCATTATACTGGTTTACATGGAAAAATCCCTATTAAGTTGCATTGTACTGGTTTACATGGAAAAAACCCTATTAAGTTGCATTATACTGGTTTACATGGAAAAAACCCTATTAAGTTGCATTATACTGGTTTACATGTAAAAACCCCTATTAAGTTGCATTATACTGGTTTACATGGAAAAATCCCCATTAAGTTGCATTATACTGGTTTACATGAAAAAAAACCCTATTAAGTTGCATTATACTGGTTTACATGAAAAAACCCTATTAAGTTGCATTATACTGGTTTACATGGAAAAATCCCTATTAAGTTGCATTATACTGGTTTACATGGAAAAATCCCTATTAGGTTGCATGATTACACTGAAGTCCTTGAAACTGCTGAAGTCCTTGAAACTGCTGAAGTCCTTGAAACTGCTGAAGTCCTTGAAACTGTTGAAGTCCTTGAAACTCTTGAAATCTTGAAACTGCTGAAATCCTTGAAACTGTTGAATCCTTGAAACTGTTGAATCATTGAAACTGTAGAAATGTCTGAAAGAGCTGAAGTCCTATTAAAATGCATGGGCCTATTAAAATGCATTGCAGAATTCTCAATGCAGATTTTTGTCCGATTGCGGAAAAACCGGAAATCGCTGAAGTCCCAAAAGTAATAGCAATAATCTCCCAAACATGTGGAACGTTTTGATGTATAACTTGTGGAAATTGTTGAAAATGTGAAAGCTGTGAAACGTGTCAAAAAAAATGACGGAATAAAGAAATACAAAACCAATGGTTGACTGCGGAAGGTTCCGCAGTCAATCAATAAAGGTCTTGTTATAATTCTCAAATCAAAAATAACATTGGATTTAGTATCAAAATGACTAAAACCAAACATTTGTCAACCAGATTGGCTGGTTTAAAAGTAAATGATTATTATCATTAATGACACAACAATCAATAGAATAAGGATTTCTATCTAGGCCTTTGTGAAAAAGGTGTTGTTTATAGATTTGTTGTTGGCGAAACTCTTGTCTATTCAGCTATTATGGTCCCAGCTGGATTCGTCTGTATATCTGTCAACCTGAGTCAGGGAGAGTGGGAGAGGTTGCAGTACCACTTTTGGCCAGATTTGTACATACTGCTCCTTATATTGTTGGTTACCAAGTCGTAGTTACAATTTTCATTTTCATAAAAAGAATTGAGGGATTTAAAGTTAGAACTGCTAAAACATTTAAATTAACCCTGTCATGCATAGTGGTCACTATAGTGGACAGCTATTCAATAGTTTTCTTCCACATGTGTGAGAAAATGTGCTTAGTGGAGGAGGAAAATCTGTTCATACATTATATTCCAGGAAAGTTTAACAGCTAAAAAAATATGTGGACGGCACTGGACGTCAAGTAACATCGAAGGAGCTGTATAATTGTTGAAAAACCCAAGTACCGATTTTCTGTTTTGAGGAAATTGCAATGAATCATGTGTTCACTAAAGCGGACGTTGTGCATCACTGGCTATGTTTTGAATACAATGCATAGTGCTGCTGCAACTTTGTTGTTTCTGGAAATACGTCATTTTTGATACTGTTTTGTCTGCAAATAATTTACATTATTTGATATATTCTATATCTTGTGAACATTTGGCATATCATGGGAATAATTATCATTTTCGATGTGTTTTCTAGCGGTCAGGGCCAGAGCAGAATAGAAAAGCCTACAGGACAGTCCAGGAACTACCATCTGACTCAAGTGAGGGTGATGTTGTTGGGAATGATGAAGAAAGGTACCAGACAAAAGACAATTAGCAAATGGTAACAGCTGTGACTGTGAAGTTGAAGATGTAGAAGGAGAAGAGGTTATATTTAGAGGCTGAAGGGAGATGGTGCTGTCTGACTTTACCAAGGTCAAAAACACAAAAATATAAATAGCATGTCTGCAAAGCCAAAGATAATAAGTTTGTGGGAAAATCTACTCTTTACTTTTTAGGAGAGTAGTAGGTAAAGATTGAGGGAGGAGCCCCAATAGATATCTTCCTTCACCAAATTGCGAATGAGCTGATTGATGATATACTTGTCAACTCAGAACTCTATGCTTTGCAAAATGGAAAATAACTATACTGAGCATTGCACTGAGTGAATTGAAGACGTTTCTATGGATTCATTTGGTCATGTCATACTCACATGCCTCAGACGTACAAGCCTATGCAGATGTGAAAGTCTTGTCTTAGTTCTATGCTGATTAGTACCAGCCAAGTTCATAGTATTTCAGTCAGTGTAACAAATGTGTTTTTCTTTGATTAATGTTTCAGACAACACATTTTACAGTTTTGGAATGTGTTAAAACAAGAAAAATACAATGCTAAAGATCAAATCAAAATGTCTTGTGGTGTTTACAGTATTCCTATTCCATGACTCAAACGCACGTTGTCCACTCTAGTGGACATCTCACCAACTCCATGGAGAATTCATGTTTTTTTCAAATTACAATATTTTCTATCTTTTCATGCCTCAAGAGTAATTAAAACACTTGGGGAAAAAATCTTGAAGGACCCTATTAAATTG